TTCTGAAGCTGTGGGAAGATGAGAGCAAAGAGGGTCAAGAAGCACAGGGACATCAAAAACTAATGATGCAATGTAGGGTGATTAACATGACATCGAAACAACAACAACAAAAAGCAGCACAGGGACACCTACTCAACAGAAACATCTTGGTCAGAACAATACGGCAACAGCGTCTCCGGTGGGGTGGGCCATTTCGGGTGCTTGCCTGCATTGACTTCAGAAACTGAGTTGGCGCTCAATGTTAGGCGCAGACAGTGGAGAGCTGAAGTGCTCGCTATGCAGAGTGATTTGGAAATACTTATATAAATGTCACATAATGAATTTCCAGCGGAGGCTATATTAAGGAAAATTCTGAAACTATGTCAATGAAGCCAATTTTTGCAGCATTTCTGAATATTTTTTTCACTTGTTAGGAAGTTTTTGTTATGTCTTTTCCGTTAATGGGACTTAACACTGCAACTTTTAAACACAAAATAAAGAAAAAGAAAATCTTTATAGGAAGCAATGGGGGAAAAAAAATGCCAAGTACCCCCTCCCTACCAGGGTATTTGTCTCATTTAAGCCCCGTGAAAGTCCTATAAGGCAGGTATTATAACTCCCACTTTACAGATGAGGAAGCTGAGGCCCAGGCTGGCTCAGCAGTGTCCAGGGTCTCCCAGCTTGTAAGAAGCAGCAGGGGGAGCCCAGCCTCTCGTGCGCCCTACCCCACAAGAGGGGCGCAGGGGCAATGCGCTCTTAATGGAGACCACACACCAGCGGGACCAGCAGGGAGGATGCAGGTGGACACCGCGGCCCAGCTTTGGTCTCTCATGGTGCCCTGACCCAGGCACCTTGAGGTCAGCGACCTGTCCTGTTTGCCACTGTGGCCCCAGCATCAGCTCTGGGCCTGGCACACACAGGGCAAGCAAGCTTTGGATCCAAGAACAACTGACCCCAAAGCCTCACTCTTCTCCTCTGGAAAATGGGCAGAGCTCAGTAAGCTAGTATACGTCCCGTGCTTGGCGCATAGTAGGTCTTCAGGAATAAATGGGGACTGATGATTATCAGTGATCAGCCCTTTGCTTTAAGAGGTGTCTGACCTATCCCCCTTTTGCTACATTCCCCTCCCAATGCTATGGGAGAAACTATCCCCTAGGGGTCCCTCCGCCTGGATTGAACCCAGAGACCTCCCCACCACAGCCTTCCTTGCCTCCCTAAGCACTGCCCTCCAGGCTTCTGGAATTAGAGCCCCACCAGAGAGAAGGGACATGAGACACAAAGCAGTGGGTCAAAGACCAGTGCAGTGACTGCAAACCAGGACCCCCCTTCTTCCTTCCCCCCGAAAGTGGAGGCAGGAAGTAGGGGTGCACCTGGGACAGAAGGAGAAGAGGGGCGTGTCTGGCTCACTCCCTCTGGCTGCTGTCCTGGGCCCCCCTAGATGGCATCAGGAGGGCCCACTGGTTGGCGATGTGTTTTCTGAGTGTGACACGCGTTGGCCAACAGAGGACAGCAAATACATTTTTTATGATCCTGGGAGGCTCAGTCCTGTCACATTGACTCGAAAAGAGGCTGGGTAGTAGAGGGGGACAAGTCATGTCTCAGTTATCTGGATCCTCTGGATCCCCTACAAGAGGGGACACTTGTACCATGATCTGGGGGTCCCTGGGCAAGGGGTGCAGGTGGAGCAGATTTCAGGAGGGGCTCAGCTGTAGGGGAGGGGCCCCCTCACTGTCAGAACCTTATGTAGCTTATGAAGGGGGTGTCACCCCAGGGGCCAGATCTTTGCCAAGTGGAGAAGGTACCCTCAGTGCCCCACCACCAATTTCCTGCAGATCTCTTGGAGCCTGCCACTTAGAACGCAGCACCAAAGTGACTTTGCAACGTGTGGGGGGGCGGGGAGGACAAGCACAACTTTATGTTTTGGCCTGAAAGTGGGTTGGTATTTGGGGAGTTCTTGGGAACAGAGCATGTCCGTCCAGCTTCCAAAACTGGGAGTTCCAAGGGACTCCAGTCATCCCAGAGCAGGTTAGGGGCCACCAAGGGGTGGTGACCAGGCGTGGCGGTCAGTCTGGGTGCTGCTCCGACTTCCACTATTTGTTCATGGGGGGGGGGGGGGGGGCGCGGACGATGAAAATGGGAGGAACAGCTAAAAGTGCCTGCTGGCACTGTCACTGAGGTTCCCAAAAGAGGCTAGCAGATCTGGGGGCGAGTCTGAATCTTAAGTAGATGTGTCCCCATTCGGGCACCCTGCACCCCAGCCGAGGGATCCCTGGAGCGCATGTGGAGGACTCCTGCCCGCCCCCAGGAGGGAGGCCCAGCCCAGGCTCCCTCCTCCGGCCCACGGGGTGTCGGAAATGGGGAATTTCTTCCTTCCCCCCCGTCCTCCCCCCAGTTTGGAGAACCCCAGGCTCTGCCCCCACAGGTCGAGGCTGACGTCGCCGCCGCATTTCTAGGAATGCCCCCATCCGCTGACTATATTTGGCGAGGGTTTCTAGGAAGGCACCCCCTCCACCCCGGCCCCCGCCCCAGCCCCCACCCGGGCAGGCGGGCGCGCGCCGCTTCCAGGCTCTCGCCCTCTCTCCCGGGCCGGGGAGGAGCCGCCCCGCCTGGGCCGCCGCCGCCTCCCCAGCGCCGCCAACCCCGGGCCGGCCCAGCCCCCGCCCCGGGCCGGCCATAGGGCGTGGGGGGGGGAGGAGCGGGGGAGGGGGGGGCCAGGGGGGCGGGGGCGCGGCTTTGTGGCGGCAGCGGACCGTGGAGGCCGGGTGCAGCCCCGTCGGCTCCGTGCTCTCGGCAGAAAAGGATTTTCTACGCCCCCCGCCCATCACTTGGATCTTGTCTGGGGAGGGGTGGGATCTTTTTCTGGAAGTCCCCCCCCCCGCGGTGAAGGATTTGAGGCTGGGCTCCAATCGAGGCGGAGGCTGCAGGGCCCGCGGGCGCCCCCCGCCCCGCGCACGCCTCCCGGGAGCCCAGGAAGGCGCAGCCCCGGGGGGCCCCCCTGCGCCCCCGGAGGAGGCAGCGGCGGTGAGTCTCCCCCTCTTGCCTGCATGGCACCCTCGCCCGCGCCGGGGCAGGGGCCGCGGCAGGTGGGTGCTCAGGCCCCCGGGCCCGGGGGGTGCGGGGCGGCCGCCTGGGGGGCGGGTGGGGACGGGAGCGGGGAGGTGGTGGCGGGGGCAGCGCCCTGCTCTCCGGGGACCCGGCGCTAGACGCCTGTCTGGGTTGCGATCCGCCGCCGCTGCCGCCCCCCGAGGCGGCGGGGCTGGGCTACCTCCCCAGCCCCCTCCCCGGCTCCCGAGAGGGGCGTGTTAGGCGAGGAGGTGGGATCGGGGCGAGGCAGCCCCCCACCTCCCAGATGCTGGGGCTTGGAAATTAACGCGCGGTTGGAAAGGCAGCCACCCCGCCCCCACCCCGGAAAGCCCGTGCGGGAAACTGACTCGCTGCGTGACCCCGATATCAATGCCGCGCGGAGAGCAGGCCGCCCGCTCGCAGGTCCGCGCCCGCCGCGCCCCGCCACTCCACGTGCGCCCCGGGCCGCGCTCGCTCGGCCCGGGCCCTGGGGACCGCCGGCACAGCAGGGGGGGACAGTCCCCAGAGAGTTACCACCTTCCCCGAAGTAAAGTTGGCGCCCCCCCACCCCCCCCGGAGGAGCAGGCGGCCATAGCACTTTGGCTTAGCTTTTGATGGGCAGGAGCGGGGGAAGAAAAAAAAAACCACACACACAACTAGGTTCCGGGGTGCAGAGTGAGGTGCGAGGGCCCGAGACCACACCGTGTTGCTCTGGCAAAAGTTAGGGGGGAAAAGGCATTCTGATTTGGGGATGGGGGTGGGAGTGGCCTTTCTGCTCTCCCCTGCTTCCAATCCCCACCGTGGGGAGCGTTGGAATGTGCCGCTCAGATCCTCTGAGGACACATCCATATTTATAATTTATTTTTAGGAGAAGTTGTGAAAAAGAGAGGGGGTTTAAAATGGGGAGAAAGGGTGGGGGGTGGCCTTTTCGGAACCCAGAGGCTAATTGAGCTGTTAAGGTGGAAATAATTTCCCCCAATAGGGGCAAGCAGCAAATTTGACTTTAATGAGGGACAATTAAGGGCATAAATAACTAAACTTTAGCTAGATGAGGGGGGGTGGGGTGGGGATTGTATGCCGCACCAAGGACACTCCTTTTGCGCTTTGCTAAGGGACATTTTGGGGGCCCAGCGTCTTCCCTGGGAAGCTTTCGGGCCCAACTGTAGGGCTGGGGTCAGGAGAGGGAAAAGATCTCGGCTTTGGGGTGGGCAGACACCCGCCCCCATCCCTCCCACCACCATCCTGGCTTGTCGGTGAGATCGACTGTCATCCCTGTAGGAAAACCCAGGATTCTTTTAATTATCCAGGATTCTCCAAAATCCTGCCGCTGAGGCAGCCTGCCCAGTGCTTTGAGCTGTGGAGGGGAACACACCTCTTTGGAAAGGTTTTGGAGGCTGTGGTCCCAGAATCGGGGTTTTGAGGGCGAGATGAGTTTATGTTTTATCCAACTGGCCCACAAAGTCCCGCTTTTGGGGTCATTCTAAACATCGAGGGATTCAGGCCCAGCAGTCCGTGGAGAGAGAGCCAAGAGCTGACACCTCCAAGTTGCACGTCTAAAAGCTGATTGGAGAAAGGGGGGGAGGTTTGCTACTTTTGGTAAAAGTGAAAGGCTGTTGGGGGGAGGTGGATAGTCTTGTGTGTGCGCGCGCGCACACACGCTCAGTTTGTTGTTGAACCTGCTAAGTTTTTAAGGGCCTCTTCCCTCGGGAGGCCAGAAAGAGATAAGGGAATTGTACAATTTTTTTTTTTTTTTTTTTTTGGTCCAGTGGTTTAATGAGATGTCGTAGAGGACAGGATTTGAAGGGGATGAGCGGCATCCCGGTTTGACACCCTCCAAATCAAACACCGCTGACGCTGTGAATGGTCATGACGTTAGATTTTTCTTCACATTTGTCAAAGGAGCACCCCTCTGCTGGCTTCCGCGGGGAGTCACGGTATTTCTTTGGTGCCTTGCCACGAGCCATATTTATAAGAGACTCAGGAGAGTGTGTTCACCGGGGCTCTCTAAGACAAGGGTGGTAGGGGCACAAATACCTTCCCAGAACAGTCACCTTATTAAGTTGCATTAATTTCAACACATACACACACACACACACACACACACGCATACCTCTGCCCTCCGGTTGTGACCTATGCAGACGCCCACATACCTTAAGTTGATTTACTTGCAAACCTGGATTTCAATCAGGTGTCCACAGCACCGAATGGGAAAGTGAGCTGTACCTAAAGAACTTTGGAACACAGGGTTCTGGATGGCACATTCTGTGTTTAACAGACATGAGACATGGACACACAGATGACATTTGCGCGCCGGGGTCTTGGCAAAAACAGTTTTTTACTTCCCGAGTTCTTTCTCTTTGTTACGGGACACGATGAAACAGCACAATTTTCAAGAGTCCACAGCCCCAGCGTGGCTCATGGATGGGAAACTGTCACGTTGTGACACAAATTGTGTTTGTGCTTTGCTGGATCGTCGCCCCGCCCCCGGCAGCCCCAGAGAGCTGTCAGATCCTATTTGCTTTGCTAAATAAGGATATCTCGCCAAATTAGCCTTTAATGATACTTGTACGAATCGGGTGCGTTGCGTGAATTAACGAGGCCGGAACGCGGAATGGTGGCCAAGACACTGAGCTCGCATCCAGGCGGTGAAGCCGTATGTTAACATGACTGGATTGTGAAGTGGGGAGAATCAGACAGAGTTTCGTGCCGAGTGTGAAGCGGGTCTGCTTTCCTGCGAGCATGTGCAATGGCACGGCCCTGGCTGACACGCGGCCCCCAAACCGGCGCGTGGAACTCTGAATACATTTAGTGCAACTTGGCCCCCTTCGGAGTCTGGAAACAGGCAGGGTGGTATGGTGAAGGGCTTGTAAATCAGGACTCTGCCGTGAGAAGTCTTCAGTACTTGGGCAGAGAATCACAGCTCCTGTGCATGTTCCTACCACCACCCTCTCCCCGTCCTCCCCACAGCAATAAGAAAACACACACACGCACATGCACACACACACGCGTGCGCGTGCACACACAAATTAACAAGGAACTGTAGAATATGCTGAATGCATTTTGGCTTTTCTCCTTTGGCCTGTGTGAAATTTCTCGAAGCGGTTGCTATCCGCACCCCCCACACACACCCCACCTCCAAGACGTGTGGATTCAGAAGAAAAAAAAAAATAGAAACTTGGAATTTAGTTCTTATCAATATCTAAGATACAGCGAATCTCATCGGGACACAAATGTTTCAAAGGGGGGAAAAATATGATCTAGCCAGGGGTGAAATATTTAGAGGGGGTAGTGCAATGAGAGGAATACTTCCTTAAGAATAAAACACGCGTTTATGACTCAAACCAATGATAGGTGGGAAAGTCCCTACAAGGGAACACTCCCTCTTTTTCTTGCTCCCCAGCACCGCCCCCCTCAACACACACACACACACACACACACACACACACACACACACACCCCCTCCACCTTAAATATTAAGAACAGAAAGATGGTTCTTGCCAGGTAAAGGTACGGCTTTCTAGCAGCAGATCAGCTCACCCTCTTTTAATTGGGATCGTGGAGTAAATACCGCTCTTTCGGGCGGTGAGGATAAAAATTAGCCTGATCATGGTTAAGGGAAACTCGGTCCTTAGACTCACTTGCCAGAAAATACGTGCACGCACCAACAAAATAAAACATTGTTCTGGAATTTTCTCTCTTGCCCAGCATCCCAAACTTGGGAACATGTAAAGTCCCTTTTTTTTTTTTTTTCACTGCTTATGTCCGGAACGAGGGAAACAAAACCACCACACGACCATGAGGTAAACCACCATCGGCTTTGCAGGCCCGGTAGCCAGGCAGGCTTTTCAAGCAAAAGGGTGGATGAGGTAGAGAATTTGGAAGGAGTGAGCTTTGGGGTCCCACCATCACCCTGAGCCCCCAGCCCTCCTCTGGTCTCCTCCCTTTAGAGTGGCCAGTGATCTGATGCCCGCCCGGAATCTTGGGTTCTCGGGGGCATGTCCGTATTTACAGAGCCTTCAAGTTTCAGATTGTACATCATCTTCAAGCACCTGCATTTAAGGAACCACAGGGCAAACTTGTTTCTCGGGTGTCCCTGAATGGCCGCACCGCTCCACGAAAGGGGGACACACACGTAGGAAGTGGAAACTGCTGCTGGTGTCACAAGAAAGCCATGTTTAAAATGCACCCGGAAGATGGGGGGCAAATGGAGCCTTTTGTCCAGGATTTGCTTGGCCCCTGCAGGGAAGGGAGGTGGTGGCCACCTTGAGCCTGAAGTTAGCTGTGCGGCATGGTGTGAAAGTTTGCTCAGAGGCGTGCAGAAAACTAGGCTCTCTCGTTGGAATCGTGCGTGAGCTCAGTGCCCGGGCCTGTTGGCATCTCCACCCGAGGCAGCCTGGACCACTGCCTGCCCAGGCCTGAACGCGGCCTGAGAGGCGCCGCCGGTGCCCAAACGAGCCCCCGGACAGGTGCCGGGGGTCTCTGCTCCCAGGACCCCGCCGGCAGCATTTATTGGCTAGAAGCGGGGTGTTGGGCTCCTGAGAGCGGCCTCCCCAGGGACTCTGCAGGGCTCAGTGTCCCATTTACCACGTGGGCTCTGGTGAGGGCAGAGCCCCACTTGGCTAAGCACAGCCTCCCAGATGCTCAGAGGGAAACAGATGAGGCCGTCCGAGGGGCTTGGGGCAAATCCGCCTGTGCGTGAGTCTAGAAGGTTCAGGGGCAGAGCTGTGCTTTTGCAGGCCAGCCGGAAGTCCTCTCCGGGATCCTCGCATTTGGGGTGGGCCCAGGGGGCGTGGCACTCGGCCAGCAGCGTCTCAGCGACCGAGCAAGCTGCCGCCTTCCCCAGGCCTCTTCCATCGGGCAGCGAGGAAGACCCAGGCCAGCAGGGCAAGGGTTGCAGCCCCGAAGTGGGGAGAAGGCGTTGGAGGCCCATCAGGGGGCCTGCTGGGCAGACGAGGGGACCCTGAGCCGGCCTGGCGGGGAGGGGGGCGGCCGAGAGAGAAGTGGGTGGGCATCCCGGAGTTGAGCTTGCAGGGAAGAAGCCCGCTCAGGCATGCTGCACCCAGCCCTGAGTCAGCCCGTCCCACGGGACTCCCGTTTGGCCCCAGCAACTGGACTCCAGGCCACCCAAAGGCCTCGTGCGTGGGTTCCTGCTTGTGTCTTAGAATGGCATTAAAAGGTCCAGACCAGGCGCTCGCAGGCCGGGCCTTATTTAGCCTCAGCTTCACCCAGAGAATATTTTAGGTGCCGCTTGAAAGAAGAGATCGGGGCCGGGTTACCAGCTGTCACATGGAGAGCGTAGAATTGGTCCCTTGCAGGCCTGGCCCCGACCGCCCGGTGCTCACCGGCACAGATGCCCCGCGTCCCTGCCAGGGCTCCGGGGCCACGCGACAGGGGCCAAGGAGCCGGTTCTGGGCCGGGAAGGCTTTGCGTCCCGTTTTCGGTCCAACGGCGATAAGGCAGAGGCGGCCTCCATTCACAGAGCTCACAGAGGCTGTTCTCAGCCCCTCTCTCTTCTCTCGATGGCCCAGTGTGATATGCCAGCCTGCTGGGTGAGCAGCCTCCTCCTCGGGTGTCAGCAGCCGTGGGGGAGGTTAACCCTTTCAGGGCCCAGGGGTGCTGGCCGGCCTGGGGGACCTGCACCTGCAGAGAGCTTGCAGGCCACCGGCCCCAGGGGAGACAGTGTGCTGGACTTCTTAGTCCTCGATATCTAGTGGCCAGACCTGAGAGATGGCTTCCTGGACCTGAGCGGGGATTCCCCCTCCCCCACCCACTTCTGCCCCATCAGCCACCACCACCACCACGCTCCCCTACCCAAGCCATGGAAACAGGTGCTCCCCTTTCCAGATACTTCCCCCTGGGTTTCCGCGTTGACTGCCTTTCTCCCGCATTCCACACCAGGAGGTATTGATGGATGCATGGCTCCCTTAGATGGGTAAGGAGATTTCGGGAAGCATCCATCGGGGTCTTGGGGAAGCGTCACAGGCGAATCCTGGAAGTGACCTGGTCCTTCCCACCTGCTCTGGGGTTCCCGATCTTGGTGTGTTCTGGGCCACAGAGAAGGCGCGTCCATCTCGAAGTGGCTGCACAGCGACATGTTTAGCCAATTATCGGCCAATGATCATCAGGCTTTTGGGGAGCCTAGGTGGAGCCGCCGCAGACCATGAAAGCTTTGGCTTGTTTCAAGGTTGCTCTCACTTCATACATTTTTTCCTTTTTAGTTCTGGCTCCCGGTGCTCCGAGCACCACCACTTCCTGCCCAGCTGGTTCGTTACCGCAGGGAAAATGAGGGACTTTTGGGGGCAGATGTGTTTCCATTCTACTATCATAATGCCCCTAAAAATCCTTATTGCTCTTGCAGTATTCCTCGGGGGCCCTGGGCTAGCTGGGAAGGTGGCAGCTCTGAGGTCTTCCAGCAACTAAAAGAAGAGAAAGATGTTCCCCCCAAATTCTCCCAGCACATACCTCACAGCTGGTTACGGCCACACGAGAAAGAAAAAGGCGCCATCCACAGACAGTGTTGCTAATTGTGCTTTTTTGCCCTCCAGGGGCGGGGGGCGGGGAGGGAAGGGGGAAGAGGGGGAAGGGGGACGCGTGGGGGCAAGGTGGGAAAGGTGGAAAACGAGCAAGTGTTACCTGTTTGACCAGGCGGGTGAGGCGACTCTCACCCTTCAGCCTGGTCCTTCCAGCGGGGCCTCCTGGGATCTTCACCTTGGCAGGGGGCCCTGGCCAGTCCTGGCTTTCTCCCCCCTCCCCCGATTCCTGAGCCAGGTCACTTTCCCACTCTCTGCCTCGGTTTCCCTATCTGCCAAGGGAGGGGCCACACTCCAGGCTCTGGCCTGGAAGGGATCATAGTTGCCACCCACGGCTATAATGAGCTCAAGCGCTATATGAGCCCCGAAGGCTTTGTGGCGGGCTTTGAAAATGGGGAAGTTAAAGCATTCACTGGGGAAGGGATTGGTACTAATATTTCCTAACACACGCCTTATATGCTGAGGCGACTCAAACAAGGAGGGGAGACCATAGCCCCACAGTGAGCATGGGTTTCTGGAATCAGCTGGGACTCCTGCTGTGTCGCCCCAGGCAAGTGGCTCAACCTCTCTGGGCCGCCATTTCCTCCCACGTGAAACCCACAGCTTAGAATAGCCACCTCCCAAGTCTGATGCGCAGATCTACCCAGCGATTGTAAGTGGTACCTGGTTCCAGGTATACATTATTCTCCTAGGTATTTCTTTGTATGGCTAATTTCTGTTTGCAGCAAGCAACTGGTTTTCAATTGGGGGTAGGAATAGAAGGCCCCCTTTTTATACCAACTTATTTAAGTGAAAGAGGGTACGTTGCTTAGAAGAAACATATTAAGCAAGGAACGGTAGAGGTAGCCTGAGGATGGGGCAGAAATCGAGACAGTCAAGTTTCCTAGACCCACTGAATTAAGCATTCGTGTATGTCTTAGCGATTTTCAGCACCCACATCCTCGGGTCGCCAATTCAAATCTGTGGCGGGCTCCACCCATGACAGCCAGGATGTCACACGTCCTCGCTTCTCAGGGGTGCCCCCACCCCTTCCCCGCCCACCCACACCAGTGACATCTCCGCCCCTACACCCCCCACCCCCATAGCTCAGATTTGTCTCCGGCCTTAGGGTGGCGATGACCCAGCGCCCTTCCCCCTCCCCAGGGCACCTCTCTGGGCCTCAGTTTCTCAGTGAGGTGGGAGAAGAGAACCCTCTGTCCCAGATCAAGGAAGTCACAGGGCTCCATCAGGCAGCTGCCGTGGTTCACAAACAGCACCAGCGGCCCTGGGACCGGCAGCGCCCTCAGCCTGCAGGGACGCTCCTTCGACAGGCCACCCTGTGCCAGGCCCGGGCACCAGCCCCTGCCTGCCCCCCCCCGGGACGGTGGCTTTACAGGGAAACAGTGAGCGTGCAGTCCCAGCCAGCAGGGGCGGACTCTGGTTTCAGTTTCTGCTGTGTCATGGGGTGGGGGGTGGCATCAGGAGCAGCCCAGCCGCCCTAGCACAACCCCCGCCCCTGGCCCGCGGCCCACCAGGATGGGGGCTGGGCCTTCAGGCACCCCTTCCATGCCTCCCTCCCACACGGTGGGGAGAACCCCAGGTGGGAAAAGCCAGGAGGGAGAGAGAGGATTTCTTTAGCTGTGGGATCTCCCCAGAACAAGTTCTTAAGCCACACAGTCTTAAAGTTCTGAGAATTGCAGCTGTTGATTCTGGATCCGAATGCCCTGGCTGGACACCTGCTTCCTGACTCCCTTTGCTAAGCACATGTCTCGTCAAGGACCTACTTTGTGCTAAGCACCGCACCAGGAGCCAGGGACGCAGCCGGGAGCAAGACAGCCCCTGTCTGCACAGGGCTCCCCCTTGAGTCAGGGGAGACAGACGAAAGGGAAAGCAAACAAAGAATCCCACGTTATGGAGGCAATTTCACACGCTAGACTTGGTGTTAGCACCTCAGGGAAGGGGCATGCGTTCCTGCCTGTGTGTGTCAGTCACGTGTCAACTCCGGGGACACACAGGTAGGTTAAGAACGCAGACCAGGGCCTGGATAGCCCAGGTTTGAATCCGGATGCTTCCACTGACTGTTGTGTGACCTCAGGCAAGCTCCCTCTCCTCTCTGGGCCTCTGTTGCCCCATCCAGATGTGCTAGAATAATAGTACCTACATGACAGGGCTGCAGTGAGGAGGACTTCAACGCACGTCCCTAAAGAACTAAGGATGGTGCTTGGCATTGACCACGAGCTGCCTAAGGCATAACCATTACCTAAGAGTAACAAATGGCCACTATTCTCATAGGCACCTCATCTCCCTTTACAGCCGCAACCAACCCTTAGGTGGGCCTTAACAGGTCCTTGTTCAGATGAGAAAACCGGGGCGCAGGGAGACGCCCAGCTGGAAGAGTCTGACCCCAGGTTGTGGGCCCGGCCCTAGTTTTAATGCCCTGCTGTTGTCATCCTGACATTTTTAATAATTTTGGCACACGGGGCCCCGGGTTCTCATTTTGCAAACTGGGGAGCCAGCCCTGCCCAGATCTGATTGACCCCCAAAGCAGTCACTCTGAACTCCTACCATCCACAGAGCCTACAGCCAGGTCCAGAGTAATTGTCCAATTCACCAGTGCAGGGTTCGGTGTGGGATGGAAATCCTGGGGACAAAAGGAAGGTCGATTACAGGGCTGAACTGCTCGGATGCTTATTGGTTTGTTTGTCGCCCCTTTGAGAAGTCAAGGGGGACACAGCCAAGGGCAGGCACTGTCATTCATTCACGGCTGTACCCCCAGGACCCAGCATGTATGAGCTGCTCAGTTAATGTCCGTGAAGCTAAGCGAATGAATGGGGAGGCCGCTGTAGATCCAGATCCAAACCGATATAAAGGACACCTCCCAGGAAAGCAGGTCGTCAGGGGGGGTGCAATGTCAGCCCTGGCCACCCCAGCAGGCTTCTAGGTAGCCCCTGAAAGGTGTGGGGATGTGCACCTCGTTCCTCCCTGCCCCGACCACCCCTGCCAACACTCTGCAGCAGAACGCTGTTGAACAGCTGCCGGTGGGGAGCTCAGGGACAACACGGGTATTTACAGACACGTGGGCCCGGATTCCTGAGCACCTGTTACTGGAGAAGATGCAGAGTTCAGTCGAAAACATAACTCCGGTTTTAGTTCTGGGCAGGTTCAAATCCCAGCCAGGGGTCAGGGAGGCAGTTTCCTGGGCCATTAAATGAGAGGGTTTGGATTTGTGGATCAGAGGTCCTTCTTCCTCTGAAATTAGAGGCCTTTTATACTCTCATAGCTCCAAATTATAAATATTACTAAGAAGCAGAGAATCATCTGAAAAGCCTTTAGGATATTTAGGACGATAAGAAACATTTGTATGTTTCGCCAACTGTTTTTACGAAACAGGCACGCTCTCTGCTGCTTCAGATAACCCCATAAAGTCAGAGTCGTCGGCCTCTTTTTCTAAATAACACAACCACCAGCATATATTGAGCGCTTTATACATACTAGGCACTTGACACGCATGAAGTCATTGCCCAGGGAGGCACTATCACTGCCTTCAGCTCGCTGATGAGGAAACACTTGAGAAACTGACCTGCCCAAGGTCACACAGCCAGCATGTGATGAGCTGGGGTTCAAGCCTGGATCTTCCACCTCAGGGACCAGCAGACTTGCCCCGTAAAAGGCCAGATACTAAATATTCTCGGCTCTGCAGGCCCTATGGTCTGTGTCACAGCTCCTCCACTCGGCCATTATAACAAAAACGCAGACACAGACAACACAGAAATGAACCGACGTGGCTGTGTGTTCCAATAAAACTTTATTTACAAAAACAAGACATGGGCCGAATTTGGCCCACCCCTGTTCCAGACTCAAAAACCTGCCTTCCGGTTTGGCCCAGGGAACATTCTTTCCCATCCTCTCTCCCCATCTGTGAAGTGAGTAAGTTATGTTTAGGTCAGAGATGCCTGGCTCTGGAGAGATTGAATCGGCCTCTCTTTTTTTGAGGGAATTTACAACTATTAGGAATTATTAGTGACTGCCATAATAGGACA